GTAAATAGCAAGTAGAAATCTGCCCCTCGGGCTCAGTATCAATCGCTCAGAACAGTATCAGCCCCTCGGGCTCACTCTCAGTCACTCAGCATAGTATCAGCCCCTCGGGCTCACTCTCAGATCATATGGGTACCCGGGCTCACTATGGGTGTGCAGACTCCGAAGGGGCCCCTTACGGCCCAAGCGCTATATCAAGCCACCTTGTGGCATCATCACTCGGCACTCGGCCTCACATCACTCGGCCTCCCATCACTCAAGCCACCTCGTGGCACATAAAGTATCTCATATCACTCAGCATATCCTCACATATGGCCCTCGGCCTCACTCAGTCCAGAAATCATCACAAGCCCCTCGGGCATCAGTAAAACAGTAGTGCTCAGCCCAAACAACATTGAAAATATCATTTAAGTCTAAAAATTTAAGTAAAAGTGGCTGAGTTTGTAAAGCAGTATTAATCAATAGGACTGAGTTCAAGTAATATGTCAAAATAGTGAGGAAACAGTGACAAAAGTCCACGAAGGATTCAAGTAGTCGGCATGAAGCCCAAATATAGCAATAAGCCCAAATCATGATGATAATGAACAAGTCTCAGTCAAATACGCGGTAAAAACATCAATCGGGACGGACCAAGTCACAATCCCCAATAGTGAACAACCCCGCGCTCGTCATTAAGCGCGTGTTTCACCTCAATATAGCACTACGTTGTGCAAATCCGGGGTTTCAAACCCTCAGGACATCATTTACAATCACTACTCACCTCAAGCCGGCCAAAACTCTAGCTCGCTATGTCCTTGCCTCTCAAATCGGTCTCCTTGCGCATCGAATCTGATCAAAATCACAACGAATACGTCACAATAGGCTAAGGGAACAAAACTCAATCGAAAATAATCGAAAAACATCAAAAAACCCGAAATTAGCAAAACCCGAGCCCCGAGCCCACTTCTCGAAACTCAGAAATTTTCACATCATTAAACTCCTTATCTCCCCACGAATTTATACATATCAAAAACACAAGAATCTGAGTTCAATTGACCTTTCAAATCCCCACTTTTTGCTCGCTTAAGTTCAAGCCCTAAACCACCATTTTTGTCCATTAATTCCTTAAATTTTCAGTCCTAATTCATGAAATAACACCATAGAATCGAATTTTGGGTCCAAAAATCCTTACCTTACCGAAGCTCCTTGAAATCCCTCTTCAAAATCGCCCACAATTCTCCAAGTCTGAAGTTAGAAATGATAAACCCTTCAAAATTCGCGAAGAAGGACTTAAATACCTTCTGCCCAGACAAAATCGCATCTGCGGTCTAAAATCCGCTTCTGCGGTACCGCTTCTGCGCTTTATTCTCCGCATCTGCGAAACTTCATTAAGTCCTGCCTGGCCGCATCTGCGGTTCATTAGCCGTATCTGCGGTTTCGCAGGTGCGGCTCCCTGTCCGCATCTGCGGTCCCAGCTTTACTCCCCTAACCCGGATCTGCGACCAGATTTTCGCATCTGTGGTCGCAGATGCGGCTCCTCGTCCGCTTATGCGGAAACAGCTGCCCGACCAAAACTCGCACCTGCGGCCTCTCCTTCGCACCTGCGGTCCCCTTTCCGCAGGTGCGGAAATACCAGCAACAACAAAAATTTCTGCAGCAACACAAGTGCAAATTCTTCCCGTTAGCCATCCGAAATCACCCTGAGGCCCCCAGGACCTCAACCAAAAGCACCAACACATCCTAAAATCTCATTCAAACTTGTTCCAATCATCAAAACACCTCAAACAACACCAAAACCATCAAATTACATCGGATTCAAGCCTAAGTTCTTCTAAAACCTCCGAAATACTCATTTGATAAAAAACCCAACAAAATCACCTTCGAATGACCTGAAATTTTACGCACACATCCCAAATCACATGAAGAAGCTACAACAAACTCTCGGAATTCCATTCCGACCCTAGGATCAAAATCTCACCTACCAACCGGAAATCGCCAAAATACTAATTTCGCCAAAACCAGCTAATTTCTACACCGGACCTCCAAAACCACTTTCGATCACGCTCCTAAGTCACAAATCATCTCCCAAAGCTAACCGAATCACCGAAAATCACATCCGAGCCCTCTAACACACAAGTCAACATCCGATTGACTTTTCCAAATCAAACCTTCCTTAAAGAGACTAAGTGTCTCATTTCCTACCAAAACCAGTCCAACTCAACTCGACTACACATGACACGGATAACGAAGCATAAAAATATGGGGGAGGGGGGGGGGAACGGGGCGGTAACTCATGAGACGACGGGTCGGGTCGTCACAATGATCCTCTTCCACTGTTGCTTTGCTTATGCCTTTGTCTTTTGTAACCCATTGTTGCACTATTTTCTTTGTTCACCTCTTTTCTTTCGTTTGATCCTTATGTTGCTGCTCCTTTCTTCTTCCTTCCCGTTGGCATTTATGCCCAATGACTTGGCATTTTTGACAGAACATTGGCTTCCAATCATAAATGATTGGTTGTAAGAATACTGTCCCATTTGGATCCTCCACAGTTATCTCATCCAACAGTGGTTTAGTCACATCTACCTCAATTAGCATCCTTGCATAGGACACTCTAATTTGCTTAGCAGTATATTCATCTGCGTACATGGGTGTTCCAATTGAGCTGGATATCCTGCTAAGTGAATTGTTCCTCCAACAATTCAATGGTAGTTTAGGAAACTTGATCCACAAAGGAATTTCTGTTGGAAACTCCTCAAAATCAAAATCCTCTGTCCATTGTTTAAGAATAATAGGTCTGTTGCTGATAGTATATGGGCCATAATATAGAATCTCCTTTATGCCATCTATTGTTTTGAATTTGATTATAAAATAGAATCTCCTCATGCATATACAGATCTGGTTCTGCAATATCATTCCAATTAAGTTCTATATCCCCGATTACATATGCAATTAGAGCCCCTTTCCATTTCTCAGTTTCTCTATCAACTTCATCCTTATCTAGTTTGACAATCATTTGACCATTGACAATCTGTGGTGGGATATAGGTTAGGGCCATACCATTTTCAGGAAATAGGTTAATCCACATTTGAGTGCCTTCCTTCTCTGCCTGCTTGTTCTCCTCCCCTACCGTAGTTACTGTTTCATTTTTTTGTTTTACTGGCGGGATTGAGATTTCCTTTGTCTTCTCTACTTCTAGATCTGCTCGTTCCTCTGGTGTTGCTGGGCTCAATTGAAGCTTTTTCATCGCTTCAATTGATGATTCTCCTTGGTTCCCCTCTTTAGATCCCCTTTGTTCATCTGTATGGGGGGATGGTGGTATTTCCTCATCTGTGTTCCTGGGTTCTGAGCTATGTGTTCCGACTGAGCTACCGAAGGTGATGATCGGTACTTTCTTTGGGCGACCTCGCCCTCTTCCTCATCCTCTTCCGCGTCCTCTCGCCCCTGCCATGGATACACCGTCGTATGTCAACTACCTTACGCCAAGAGCATATAGAGAGAGAGATTACAAAGTTATTTTACTATTCTTAAAAGAAATGCAACTAATTCTGATAACTAGAATAAGTATGATTTAAAACACATAACCTAAACCTATTGGAGAAGAATCCAGTCTAGCAAATACTTATTAAACTATATATTTACGTCAAATCAACCAATTTAATCTTAAAAATTAAAATTAAAAAATATCACATATAAATAATAAATGTGAGTATCTAGTGCCTAGGGGTGTCAATGGTTCGGTTCGTCCGGTTATTTTATAAAATTTGTACCATACTATTTTTTCGGTTATTTTATTATGCATAACCAAAATTAAACTTTTCGAAACCGTCCCAATCATGTCGGTTTCTCTTTGATATCGGTACGGTACAATTCGATTAATTTTTGATACTTTTTTAAATGCCATGTAAAAGTCACCAATAGAAGTAGAATGATATAACATACGTCTTTTATAGGACTTAGCAAAACTCTCTAGACATTTTTACAGTTTAAAGGATGATGAATTAAAAAAGTATGAAAGATGGCCAGAGTATAGATCCATCAACTTTTCTACAGCAACGTAAAAGAAATAAAGCAAAGACAAAGAAAGTATAAATCACACGAGTGGAATGATATTAACCAAGTTGGGACTCAATAATAAAGTCTATAGAAGATTAAATATTCAAAAAGAAAAATCTAAATTATATGAAAAGGAACATATTCAATACATTGTAGTTTGCTATTCATAATTGCTAGAATATTTGTGTCTTGCTAATGAAGATTCCGAAAATAACTTAGTTTAAAGTAGAAGTAGCATAATAGGTTTTAGAAATTAGTATTTTCGGTTTAATTACTTGTTGGCTTGTAACTGTTTTTATAATTCCAAGGTCCAAAGAAAAATTCAATGCTTTATTATTTTTAAACTTACAATATAAATATATTTTACGCATGTAAAATTTATTCGATACGGCGGTTTATTCTTATAAAATAAAAAATCTATCCTACTTATCAATACAATTATAGATTTATATAAAAATATACGGTTATTTTAAAAAAACCCAAAATCGGTTTGATGAGGTGTGGTTAGATCCATTTAATCCGTTTTTAAATATGGATTGACGTCCCGCTAGTACCTATAAGTTTTTACCGGCTTTGAGAGCCTATGTAAGTTTGACTTTTTTCCAAAAAAAAGAAAAAGAAAAGAAAAAGAGAGTTCAACTTTCTTCATTTCCAAAGCTGTCCCTGCACAGAAACTCATACCAACACGACACAGTTTGATCTCTGAAAATGAGTCCACATTCTCTTTAAGCCTTTCCCAAATGAAGTCACCTTCAATTTCAAGGTCAGTAAGTTTGATTTCCTCTTTTGGGGTTTAAAGAATGAGTCAGAATATGTTACTACTACTAATTAATCCCCTCCTTTTTAAATTGAATTCTTCTGGAAAAACTCTTGAATTGGTTTCTGTGACTTTGGTCTTTGGTTAATTCTTTTGAATTATTATATTTTATATATATACTTCATTTGTTTGCAGGAGCTGAGCTTTTGAGCTACTTTTACTAAAATGGCAAGTTCTGGGAAAGAAGATCAAGATCAAAGGTACTGACCTTTCTGTATGTAACACACACACACACACACATACATAATTGTTTACTAGTGCAACTGTTTTATAATACAAAAGCCCATTAATTTATTTTCCATGCAATTTGGGGATAAAAAACACAAATCAATGGAATAGGAATGGGGACTGAGATATTTCCTTTAGAAAATATAGGGAATTTCTAGTACTTTTACTTTTACTTTTATTTTTATCATTATATTATTTTGTATGTTACTAGCCTGAAGTGAGCCTATATGAAGTAACATGGTCAGTGAGGATTCCTATAGCCGATCCCAACTTGTATGGTACTGAGGCGTAATTGTTGTTGTCAGTGGCGGAGCCACATTGAAGCCAGGGGTGTCAAGCGACACCCCTTCGCCGGAAAATTACACTGTTTTGCTAGATAACTTTTTTTATTTTATGTATATTTACTATACGTTGACTCCCCTTGACTTTTCGATGTATTTAATTATTTATATTTTGACACCCCTTGATGAAAATTCTGGATCCGCCACTGGTTGTTGTTGTTGGTTCAGTTCTACGCAATGCAAAGGAAACAGTGAAATTGGAATTCATTGCTTTTGACTCGTCACATTTTGGAATACTGAATGTGTAAAAATGCGCATCATAGGGAGGAAGAAGTAATTATCTATATGAAGATTGTTACTCTAATATAACAAGGGGAATCTTTGTATCAATTGAAGTTTAACCGGAAAAAGAATTCCTTTTTGAGATTGTGGTTCTTTTTCTTAGTATTTGGAGCTCTCAGTTATGAAGCCTATGTGTTTAGTTTGGATCTGCTGAGAAAACAGTTTAGCTGAAAATCCATATTCTATGGGTTTAGTAATAGGTTAATTGACCTCCTAATAAATTTCTCTATCTCATTTTACGATATTAGCAACCAGCACAGAAGAAAAGGTATGGCGATGAAGAGTCATTTTTAAACATAACTCTGTCATGTAAGAGGGTTGGGAAAATGACTACTTTGTGTTTTATCATGTTCTGGCAGTTTCTGATTGGAGAACTGGATATTCTAAACTAAGATGTATGCCGTATGCCTTGTTGTTCTCTGAGATATATTAAGCTGCACCATAGTAACGGCATACTTGAAAGAGTCGTAACTTTTTACTCTATTATTAATAACTAAGACGGTAAAGTTGTTGTCATGTGACCAGGAGGTCACGGGTTCAAGCCGTGGAAACAGCCTCATGCAAAAATGCAGGGTAAGGCTCGTACTATAGACCCTTGTGGTCCGGCCCTTCCCCGAACCCCGCGCATAGCGGTAGCTTATTGCACCGGGCTGTCCTTTTATTAATGTTAGAATAGTCATGTAAATAGGAGTAAATAAATAACCCTAATCCAATATATGTTAGGAGTAGGACATATTATGTGTGTATATATATAGGGCTCATTGTAACATATGGATATACATCAATAATATATTTTCTCCCGTGCTTTCTCACATGGTATCAGAGCTTTAGTGAGAAACATATCGCTGTGCATCATTCCAGCGACTTCCGGGAAGAAAGAACTCAGTCACCGTGCAATTTTCCGGTGACCTAAGTGACTTATTGCGTCAAAGTCACTAATTAACAGTGTTGTGCAAAATCCAACACCACCACAAGGTTCCCAAGAGAGATCCGACCAAACCCCAGAAAAAATCACCGGAAAATAGCCCTCCACGCGCCGTCACGCGCCTGTCGGAACTCTGCCGCCGGCGGCGCGTCTGTCCCACGCGCCGGCGCGTGAGGCCTCTTCCGGCCATTTTTCGGCTTCGCTTCTTCAGGACAGTTGGATCGCCCTGCAATTCCGAGCCTGTCCATATTTTTATTTTTTAATTCCGACCACTTTGAGTTTTTCCGGCGACTACACTGATTTTTCCGGCAGCTACAGTACTTTTCCGGCAAACACAGTGTTTTCTTCATCTGTCTCAGAGAATTTTCAGTTGATTCTTTTTTTGTTATTTAGTGATAATCCAACCATGTCTTTGGGAGTCGATGCTTTCGGGTCTAGAAACCCGAGTTCTGGCAGTTCCGGTGTTATGATTACCTCAGAACCTTTAATGGGAGGTTCAAACTACTTAGATTGGGCTTCATCTGTCGAGTTGTGGTGTAAAGGTCAAGGAGTTCAAGATCATTTAACAAAAAAGGCTAGCGAAGGTGATGAAAAGGCCAAAACACAATGGGAGAAGGTCGATGCTCAGTTATGTAGTATCCTGTGGCGATCTATTGATTCCAAGTTGATGCCCTTGTTCCGTCCATTCCAGACATGTTATTTAGTTTGGGAAAAGGCTCGTAATCTATACACTAATGACATATCTCGTTTCTATGATGTAATATCGCGAATGACAAGCTTGAAGAAACAGGAATTAGATATGTCTACTTACTTGGGACAAGTTCAGGCAGTCATGGAAGAATTTGAGACGTTGATGCCAGTTTCTGCTAGTATTGAAAAACAACAAGAGCAACGACAGAAGATGTTTCTAGTTCTTACACTCGCTGGACTCCCTAATGACCTTGATTCAGTACGTGACTAGATTTTGGCTAGTCCAACCGTCCCCTCAGTTGATGAATTATTCTCTCGATTACTTCGCCTTGCTGCAGCACCTAGTCACCCAGTGAGCTCATCACAGACACTTGACTCCTCTGTCCTCGTATCCCAATCAGTGGACAATCGGGCATCTCATACTATGGAGAATAGACGAGGAGGAGGTCGTTTTGGAAGATCTAGACCCAAGTGCTCTATTGTCATAAACTTGGACACACTCGTGATGTATGCCATTCTTTACATGGCCGCCCAACCAAAAATGCTTATGTTGCTCAGACTGAGACTACAGGTAACCAGGGATTTTCTTTATCTGAAGGGGAGTATAATGAGTTCCTTCAGTATCGAGCAAGTAAGCAGACATCTCCACAAGTAGCTTCTGTTGCTCAGACTAATACTTCTGTTGCTGGTAATTCTTTTGCTTGTGTTTCCCAGTCTAGTCCTCCTGGACAATGGGTTGTGGACTCAGCCGCTTCTGATCATATCTCTGGTAATAAATCACTTTTGTCAAATATTGCGTATTCACAGTCTCTTCCCACTGTTACTTTAGCCAATGGGTCTCAAACCAAAGCAAAAGGAGTTGGACAAGCGAATCCCCTACCCTCTGTCACTCTAGATTCCGTTCTCTATGTCCCTGGCTGTCCTTTTAATCTTGCATCTGTTAGTCGTTTGACTCGTGCCCTCCATTGTGGTATATATTTTATTGATGATTCTTTTATTATGCAGGACCGCAGTACAGGGCAGACGATTGGAACAGGACTTGAATCAGAAGGGCTTTACTACCTTAACTCCCTAAAATCCTCCAAGGCATGTCTAGTTACAGATCCTCCGGACCTAATTCACAAACGTTTAGGACATCCAAGCTTATCCAAGCTTCAGAAGATGGTGCCTGGTTTGTCTAGTTTATCCACATTAGAGTGTGAGTCATGTCAGCTCGGGAAACATACCCGAGCCTCCTATCCTCGTAGTATTGAGAGTCACGTAGAGTCTATTTTTTCTTTAGTTCACTCTGATATATGGGGTCCTAGTAGAGTCAGTTCAACCTTGGGATTTCGTTATTTTGTTAGTTTTATTGATGATCATTCAAGATGTACTTGGATTTTCTTAATGAAAGATCGTTCTGAGTTGTTTTCTATATTCCAGAATTTTTGTGCTGAAATTAAAAATCAATTTGGTGTTTCCATTCGCACTTTTCGCAGTGATAATGCCTTAGAATATTTATCCTCTCAATTTCAGCAGTTTATGACTTCTCAAGGAATTATTCATCAGACCTCTTGTCCTTATACCCCTCAGCAAAATGGGGTTGCAGAGAGAAAGAATAGGCACATCATTGAGACTGCTCGCACACTTCTCATTGAATCTCATGTTCCGCTGCGTTTTTGGGGCGATGCAGTTCTCACAGCTTGTTATTTAGTTAATCGGATGCCTTCCTCTCCCATCCAGAATCAGATACCGTATGCAGTATTGTGTCCCCAATCACCCGTATACTCTGTTCCCCCTCGTGTTTTTGGGAGCACTTGTTTCGTTCATAACCTAGCCCCTGGGAAAGATAAGTTAGCTCCTCGTGCTCTCAAGTGTGTCTTCCTTGGTTATTCTCGTGTTCAGAAGGGCTATCGTTGTTACTCACTTGATCTTCGTAGGTACTTTATGTCCTCTGACGTCACATTTTTTGAGTCTAAACCTTTCTTTACCTCTTCTGACCTTTCTGACCCCCTTGATATATCTGAGGTCTTACCTATACCGACCTTTAAGGAGTCTACTATAGCTCCTCCTTCACCTTCCGCCACAGAAGTCTTACCCGAGTCTCCTATAGCTCCTCCTTCACCTTCCGCTATAGAAGTCTTATCCATTCCAGCCGTTGAGGAGTCTAGTGTGGCTCCTCCTAGACTCCCTGCCACAGGAACACCACTTTTGACATATCATCGTCGTCCGCGCCCAGCATCAGGTCCAGCTGATTCACGTCCTGCACCTGACCCTGCTAATACTGCGGACTTGTCTCCTCTTAATCAACCGATTGCACTTCGGAAAGGTATACGGGCCACCCTTAATCCTAATCCCCATTATGTCGGTTTGAGTTATCATCGTTTGTCATCACCCTATTATGCTTTTCTATCTTCTTTGTCCTCTGTTTCCATCCCTAAGTCTACAGGTGAAGCATTGTCTCATCCAGGATGGCGACAGGCTATGATTGACGAGATGTCTGCTTTACATACGAGTGGTACTTGGGAGCTCGTCCCTCTTCCTTCAGGTAAATCTACTGTTGGTTGTCGTTGGGTGTATGCAGTCAAGGTTGGTCCGGATGGTAAGGTTGATCGTCTTAAGGCTCGTCTTGTTGCCAAAGGATATACTCAGATATTTGGGCTCGATTACAGTGATACCTTCTCTCCTGTGGCTAAGATAGCATCAGTCCGCCTTTTTCTATCCATGGCTGCTGTTCGCCATTGGCCCCTCTATCAGCTGGACATTAAGAATGCTTTTTTACACGGTGACCTTGAGGATGAAGTTTATATGGAGCAACCACCTGGGTTTGTTGCTCAGGGGGAGTCTCGTGGCCTTGTATGTCGCTTGCGTCGGTCACTTTATGGTCTAAAGCAGTCTCCTCGAGCCTGGTTTGGTAAGTTCAGCACAGTTATTCGAGAATTTGGCATGATTCAGAGTGAAGCTGATCACTCTGTATTCTATCGGCATTCTGCCTCGAGTCTCTGTATTTATCTGGTGGTCTATGTTGACGACATTGTTATTACCGGCAATGACCAGGATGGTATTACTAAATTGAAGCAACATCTCTTGCAACACTTTCAGACTAAGGATCTGGGCAAACTAAAGTATTTTCTGGGTATTGAGGTCGCTCAGTCTAGCTCAGGTGTTGTGATCTCACAACGAAAGTATGCCTTAGATATTCTTGAAGAGACAGGAATGACAGGTTGTAGACCGGTTGACACTCCGATGGATCCGAATTCTAAACTTATGCCAGGACAGGGGGAGCCTCTTAGCGATCCTGCAAGATATAGACGGTTGGTTGGTAAATTAAATTACCTTACAGTGACAAGACCTGACATTTCCTTTTCTGTGAGTGTTGTGAGTCAGTTTATGGATTCTCCATGTGATAGTCATTGGGATGCAGTTGTTCGCATTCTTCGGTATATAAAATCAGCTCCAGGCAAAGGTTTATTGTTTGAGGGTCGAGGCCATGAGCAGATCGTTGGATACTCAGATGCTGATTGGGCAGGATCACCTTCTGATAGACGTTCTACGTCTGGATATTGTGTCTTGGTAGGAGGAAATTTGGTGTCCTGGAAGAGCAAGAAACAGAATGTGGTTGCTCGGTCTAGTGCAGAAGCAGAATATCGAGCAATGGCTATGGCGACATGTGAGCTAATTTGGATCAAACAGTTGCTCAAGGAGTTGAAATTTGGTGAGATTAGTCAGATGGGACTTGTGTGTGATAATCAAGCTGCTCTTCATATTGCGTCAAATCCAGTGTTCCATGAGAGAACTAAACACATTGAGATTGACTGTCACTTTGTTAGAGAAAAGATACTCTCGGGAGATATTGCTACAAAGTTTGTGAAGTCGAATGATCAGCTTGCAGATATTTTCACCAAGTCCCTCACTGGTCCTCGTATTAACTACATATGTAACAAGCTTGGTACATATGATTTATATGCACCAGCTTGAGGGGGAGTGTTAGAATAGTCATGTAAATAGGAGTAAATAAATAACCCTAATCCAATATATGTTAGGAGTAGGACATGTTATGTGTGTATATATATAGGGCTCATTGTAACATATGGATATACATCAATAATATATTTTCTCCCGTGCTTTCTCACAATTAATAACTAAAGGGGCTTCCTTCAAAAATCATTGATTATTAAGTTTTCGAACTATAAACCAGTACCATGGAAGAAAGTACTTCATGTGAGTTTTTCTTAATTATAATGGTTATTTACTTTCAAATAGTAATATTGTATCACGGACAGTAGTTTAGGTCCACTGGGATATATGTGCTTGAAATTTAGTCCATAATCTCATAACTGTAATCCTTGGACTGTAACCTTGAGCTAGTGTGATAGTTCTATTGAAAGATCAGCTAAGAGCGCAAGGCTCAATTGTTCAAATTACCATGCAATAAGACTCGATGAGTGTGTTAAGCTCTTTATTAGGTAAACACTAAAAATGGCCTCCCTTCAACCGAGAAAGGAAAAGAGAAATGCAGGGATTCCCAATTGGAGAAATAAGAAGAGATGGGGAATTTCATATTGATTTTCAATGCATAACAATCTGGACCAGTTGCTTGTACAGATCCCGCTGCATCATCTCACATGTTACATTCCAGTCAATTCGACAGTTTAGTCCTTATGCTTTCAACTACGTTGATTGTTTTAGTTGAAAGAGTTAGCTAAGAATGGAAGGCTCAATTTTTCACCATACAATAAGACTCAATGAGAGTATAAAGCTTTAAGGTAAACTTCTGAAACGGCCCCCTTCTACTGAGAGAGTATAACAGAGGTTTGTGATATATCAATTGTCAAGGTATAGCAATCTGGACCAACTCTTGTACAGATTCAGATCTCGTGGTTATTTTGAAATGCTGGACCTTCTGCCGTCCTTTTGCATGTTATATTCTAATAGTTTTGTCAAAATCACACATCATGGGATGGTATTATGTCCTTTTAACCTCAGTGTGTCAGATGTTACTTTCATGTGGATCTTAATATTTTTTTCATTCCTTAACCAGGAAAATCAATGGCATGGAAGATTCTAAAACAACAATTGAATTTCTCCGGGCGAGATTATTGGCTGAAAGATCTGTATCACGAACATTAAGGCAGAGAGCTGATGAACTGTCACATAGGGTTAGTCCCTTTGTCGAATTCTCTTTAAGTACGCAAGCATATAACACCACAAATTGAGTCATCGCTCCCAACACAGCCCGCACCTAGCTTTCTATGTATTTTTCGATATCTAATTAATTCATTTCCACTTCCAAAACTTTCTGCCCTTCAACAAAAGAAAAAATCATTTCAATAAACTGCTTGCGTATGTTACAGGTCTCAGAGCTCGAAGAGCAGTTAAAGGCCGTGTCTGTACAAAGAAAGAAAGCTGAGAAGGCCACAGCAGCTGTTCTGTCCATATTAGAGAACCATGGAATAAATGATGCTTCAGAGGAATTCAGTTCAGGCTCTGATCAGGAAACAAGCTTATCCGACTCAAAAGATGCTGAAAATAAAAGAGAGGGAAGGGAAATTTCGTCAAGTGTGAAAGAGAAAGAAGATGATGCGGACACATTCTCATGTTCCGAGATTACATCTTCTCCATCAACTGCCAGAAGTTTGTCGTGGAAAAGTGACAAAGGTTCTTCGCATTATTTGGATAGGAGGAAATACACCAGTTCTAATAGGAGGAGATGTAACTTTGCATCGTCAACTGGCATCTCTTCTTCAAAACGGGTTGGTAAATCATGCCGACGGATAAGGCGCAGGGATACCAGGTCGCTCCATTTAGAATTACACGTCATATGAGTTTAAACAATTCCGTTAATACTTTAAACACATTCTGTTAATACTTTTCATAATTTTTTTGATACAAAAGACTTAAGGTTACGTGTTCAGCATCGACACTTACAGTTTTATATACCTATACACAAACCGGACGAAAATACATGCATTCATATACATACACCTACATTCGACCAGCACATATATGATAACGATGCTCTTCTTTTTTTTATTGGATAAATTACGTTAAAACATTACTCATTTTGCACCTATTCCTTTTATTGACCAGATCAGCTAGTGATGAGTTACAAAATAGTTCTGCTGAATGTGCCTCTGAGGCTCGCCCAAGTTCTGCTAACAATGGGCCTCAATCATTGACGGACGGCGCTGGTAACAGTGATGCAAATGATCAAGTGCAAGTGACTGCATCAGGTGTGTCAATAAATGGAAGATTAGCAGATAAGAGTGATAAAGACATGCAAAGAGCTTTAAATCAGCAAACGCAACTTATAGGGCAATATGAAGCTGAGGAGAAAGCCCAGAGAGAATGGGAAGAGAAGTACAGAGATAGTAACAGCTATACACCGGTATATATTATAGATTTCAGCTCATACACATTTCACATAGTTCATCTTTTCATGTTTGCTAACTAACTGGGTGAGATATTTCTCCTTTTTCTGTTAAGAATGTTGGTAATGTATATTATTTATTATCTATATAATAAGAGAAATTATGATGGAGCTCTCCCTTCTCTGAAGATTTCTGTTAGCTCTACTCCTTAGCCCCTTCTGCTACTGTATGTTATCTGGGAAGATAGACAATCTAGATTAGTTGTTCATGTCATGGCTAGTTATAGATGTGATTTATTCTAAGCCCCAATCGGATTTTAGTTTAACGTGATATCCAGATTTGCACACTAAGTTTATCGGACTTTATATTACTGATTTTAGCAACTTCTAGGATTATAATTTGCATTGGGCTAGTGATATATTTGTTATCGTCATCTATCCATGTTGAATGTAGTCACGGATAAATAGATTTTGTGATTTATGACGTGATTGTGTGGTTCACTTGAATACATCTTTCCTTTCCCAGTCAGTCTTTGATGTCATTATGCTATTTGTCTTCTTGATATGTTGTCTTTGCTTTAGTCTGGTATTTGCCTTCTGCATAGATCATTTTCTGGAGAAGAAAATGCATATGTTTGTTAAGGTGTGTCTCAATTGATCTCATTCCGTTCATCTTTCATGAAACCACTCAGGATTCGTGTGATTCTGGTGAATTACTTGGATGTGACTGAAGAAAGAGATAACTTGAAAGCATCTCAGGAACCATGCTTAGTTGGAAGAACCAGTATGCAAAATCATGCAAACAAGGATGGAGCAGCCAATGTTCCCTCTACTGAGAAAAATGGAACTACAAACAAATCTCCATCTACCCCACATGTAGATACGGGCTGCTTGGAACATAAAGAAAGCAGCAAAATTATTAAATCAGATTCCCCAGCATCCGATTTTGCACGTTCGATGTCTAATGGAAATTATTTAGAAAATCACAGTCAGTCTTTTCCAGTGACTCGTTCCCCCATGAACCCCCGAGTAAATGCTACCTCGTGTTCTAGAGGTAGCAGTTTGCAAGCAGGACAAGGTTTTCAAAGAGGCTATGAACTTGCCTTGGTGTCTCATAACTCTTCAAATGTTGTAGGTTCTGTCCTCGGGGAACTCGAACAAGCTAAACTTTCATTGAGTAAACAAATCAACAGCTCACCACCATTAAGATCTGGATATTCTTCCATGACCATAGAACATTCTATTCCTACCACTATAATTGGGCACAGATCAGAGATTCCTGCCTTTTTAAGACTGCCAACAGATTTTCAACTTGAAGCAACTACAGCCGCCAACTACCAGGGATCGGCCTTGAGATTCAGTTCAGCAAACCATTCTCCTGAACCTACCACCTACAAATTCTCTACAAGTCCTTACGTGGAGTCTCAATCAAATTCTATTACCGGAAATAGGTTTTCTGCCCTTTCAGCGAGACCTTACCCAGAGGTGTCTTCTTCAGCTCCTTCATATAGGCCTATCTCTGATACTACCTTAGATGCAGGCCTACCATCTTCAGTGAGATTTAATCCTAGCTCGAGTTCACATGTTCCCTTCTCTAGTAAATTTACATACCCTACCTATCCCTCGTGCCCAGATGGGGTGCCAAATTTATCCTCAGGTGAAGTATTCTCAAGAAACTTTCCAAGAAATGAGACAGGTATACCGCCCTCATTTTCCTTTTCAACCTTGTGCCAAGATGTAGTGCCAAAATTATCGTCAGGTGAAGCGTTCGCGAGAAACTTCCCTAAGAATGAGAGAAGTATACCTCCCTCATCTTCCATCTCACGTTATGATGCTCATGTCAGCCAAAATATGTATAGTAGGTGATAATGTTCACAGTACAGATCTTGGTTAAGAATCTCCATATACCTCAAATGTTTTTAGAAGAGTTTACATAGGTTATTGTTCTATAGTTTATATCATTTCTTTATTTGCCCTTTCTTAATCTCAGCTGAGTTAGGGGTCACAGAGAGACCTCAGCTATATACCTTTGCTATTTAACGTTGCTGTTGTTGTATCCTAGATGTGTTGTAAATTGTCAGAAATAAATGAAATTTATCAGTAGGTAGCTATAGCATATGGAGTAGTTTTCATTCTTTTGATTTCTTTTTGTGAGGGTTGGAACTTTTTTTTTTTTTTTTTAGGGGGGGGGGGGGGGGGGGGGAGGGTAGGGGGTAGGTGGTTGAGGCAGGGACATTTTGTTAATTGTCTAAAATTTCCTCTTGGCTTGGTGAAGATGAAAAACTAAGGGGTCGTTTGGTATGAGCTACAAGAAGGTATAGTGGTGGTATAAAAATTTAATACCACCTTAATATTCTGTTTGGTTAGCAAATCAGTTATAAGTTATTCCGGTGTTAATTTTAACACCAGGATAACTTATACCTTATAGAGGGTGGGGTAATTAGCACCGGTAAAACTTATACCTTCTTCTTAGAAATTATGCAATTGTCATTCTTAATACAACATACCAAACAGTGAATAAACAGCAATCCCATCATAACTAATCTCAGCATAACTTATCCCAACATAACTTATACCCTCTTTCCTAGTTATAACGGAAAAGGGTACAGCTGGGTGGTCAAGGCGTATTCCAACCAAACGACCCCTAACAGTATAAGAGAATTTTTATATTATAAGATCACTTAAAGAAAAGTCAGGTGAGGTACTTTTTTTTTTTTTGGTGGAATGAAATTTTTTATTCATCACCAGAACAAGTACAATGGAAAAATACAAAACACCTCTAGCACCCTATTACATATAAATTCCCGTACTTACTCAGCTAAGCAGAAGTAAGTCTATTTATATCCTATTCTGAACAAGTAGTATTTTTTCTATTCCCTATTTAGCTATATACTTCTTCTATCCTTGTCCCGCTTCTGTTTGTTGATTATCTCCATCACACGAACTTTGCATTGCTTTTTGATTTGATCACATAACCTGCTTGGTCTTGGCACTGAACTTTGCCATAAGGCTTCGTTTCTCCCATTCCATATGTGGTAGTTCAATGCTTCCAATACAGCAAAGGAGAACTCCCTTTTTAGTTTATTTCCCATTTTTCTGCCTACTCTTTTCCATAGATGATGTCCTTCATAATTTGTGAATCTGATCTTTAGCCACTCAAACACTTCAGTGATACACAGCTTAGAAAATTGGCACTCATAGAATAAGTGTTCTATTGATTGTGGGGCGTTTCCACATAATACACATAGGCCATCTGAGCTGATCCCTCTGTGAACTAGCCTATCCTCTGTGAGGTACTTTTCCCGGGATACGAAAAGAAAATTCAGGACGGTCTCCTCTCATCCAGCTCTCTGCAGGGGAATCTCCACTCACTGCTTCCCCTAATAATATTATCCCTTTACTCAAGAACCAAAAAGACTGGGCCGAAGGAAGCTCTATCAGTCATTGAAACGATGGCAGGAGTGCCCAGAGCATTCCTTTCCCCGGCCTTTATAGGAGTAGGGGAGCGTGGTGAGATAGATAGACGCCCAATCCTTAAAGATAACTACATGGATCTGCTCACAATAAGTGAACTAGTTACTTGAACAATATAGCAAGCAACATGTTATATTAGGTTAAATTGCACAAAATGTGTAAATATCTTTTACGTTGTGCATTGTTAGAAGATGGAAATCTCCAGGAAACGACGACATAAAAATCTCCAGGAAACGAAAAAAGGAAAACGATCAGAAGTTAAGAAAGGAAACAGAAACAGAAAAGATGTGTTGGTTTAAATCTTTTTTTGACTAGTCAGCTTTGACTAAATCATCATAGTTCATTTGCTTGTAAAAGTCAACTACACGTTTAGTAAGAAGAAAGCTTTCCTTTGTCCCACTAATATATATACAGGGCCAATCAAGCAAAATCATCCAAAAACAAAGCAAAAACTTCATTTTGAACAATGGAGAAAATGTCCACATATGATCACTTGTATTATAGCACAGAAACAAGAAACATGTCATCAGAAACAAGTACTAGTAATACTGGAAATGATTTTGACCTTGAACATAATAAGAACGAAGATCTCGGCCTAATATGATTCGATGGAAGTCAGGAAAAATGGTTGATCCCAAACTGCTAGAACTCTTGGAATCATTTAGGGAAGTCTATGTGAAAAGAAGGAAATTTTTCAAGAAAATCTTCCCTGTGAATTATGAAGAATCTGTGGAGGTGTTCAAGAAATTAGAGGTTGCTATAAGGAAAAACAAGAAGGTGAAAAATCAAGCTACATTTAACAGAAGCTTGAGTTTTGGAGATGAGTCTAATATAAGACTTGAAAGGTTCAAGATTAAGACTCCTGTTTTCATAGTTGCTGGACCAAATGGCCAAGACAAAAATGGCCAAGACAATAATGGTTCCAATAATTCTGGCTAGACTTTCTTGAGCCGAGGTCTATCGAAAATAGCTTCTCTACATTTACAAGGTAGGGGCAAGGTTGCATAAGCACTATCTTCCTCAGACCCTACTTGTAAGACTGTATTGGGTCTCTTATTGTTGTAATCTGGCTAGACTGAGAAAAAATATATTATATAGCGACGGAAGCCAGAATGTCATCAAAAAGATTTAAAATTATGTTGAAACGTCACATGTGGTAGCCGAAGCAATGACCCATATATAAAAATTTTGAATCTTTTTTGCCTCTGTAATAGAAGTTTCCTTGTACATTTAATTTTCGGCAAATGAAATTCAGCTGAACATATCTTTCGCCAATGAAACTCCGCCAATGGAACAAAAAAGGAATAATCTTTTAAGTATCTTCTGATTTAATTTATTGATTTATCTTCCAGTTCAACAGCTTAGTCACTTGATCATACTTCATTGATCTGTGATTAGGGGATTGTTTTTTCTTCCCACTTTGTATATTCTTTATTGATTTGAAATTTTTAAAAAGCTTTGCATGATTATATTTTAATTTGGAAAGTTACATTATAAGATCAGTTCAAGCTAGGTGTGCATGAGCATTTTGTGTATATATATACTAGTTTCTGGATACGCGCGTTGTATGTGTACACTGTACCCTATATAAGTGAATATAAAATTGTATAAATTGCATAAATATTAGTAGTTATATACCAATAAACTGTAAATTCTTGAAAATGATATAATATACCATATTGAAATTTAGCTATATGGTCTTGTATGTATTTGTTTAGAAGTCCGGATAGAGTAAGGCAGAATATGTTGGCTTATATTCATATTACTCTTAGAATCATCATAGTTACAACTTGGAACAATATTTTTAAAACTTTTTCAAAAATATCTATGCCAATAAATTAGCGTTTAACATGATCACCAAGAATATTCCCCACGTAATCATGTATCAGCTGATTCGTCCGTTGGTTGATACCACATCACATGTGTCACCATCTTCCTATTCAATGTCCTACTTCAACAAATAACTGAAATTAGTTTGACAAAAGGAAAAAAGCAACAAGAAAAATAGAATATAAAAATTAATGAAAAAGAGAAAAGAAAAGGTAATGTAAAAACATGAGGGTGTAAACCTAAGATGTCGCATGCATTTTTCCTTCCTCTAAAAGTCTTTTTCTTTCAGTATGAATTGTTGAAGCCTATATTTCATAAAACTAAATCATTTTATATCTGTCAAATCAAGAAAAAAAAAACTAAGAACAAACGAAAAAAAGAAGAAGAAATAGAAAAAAGAAGTGGAGAAAAAGAAAAAAATGAATTAAATGCATCATATTCCTTACAACCTTTAAAAATAAATTAAATGCATCAT